CCGCATCTTCCAACTCAGGTGTGAAGCAGAGAGTGAACTGGAAGCAGGCGAGGCTATCTGATCTCCAAGCTGCTCCCAGTGATGTTTATCTTCCAGCGAGGCTGTACCACCCAAACCTCCCCAAACAGCACCACCAACCGGGAGCCAAGTGTTCAGATACATGAGTAACAGGAAGTTTTAAAAAAAATTATTATTGGAGGGGACTAGACCTACCTGGACTGAGTCTACCAGGTTGACCTCAGTCTGTGGGGAAGGCTTTGCCCTGGAGGAGATGGGAATGGGGGGGGGGGGGTTGGGGGAAAGGTGAGGGGGACGGGAGGGGGGAGAACAAGGGAATCCGTGGCTGATATGTAGAACTGAATTGTATTGCAAAATAAATTAATAAAAAAAAAAAAGAAAAAAAATTATTATTTTATTTTCTGGGTGCCTGGTCTCTGGGGAGGCCAGAAGAGCATGTTAGATCCCCTGGAACTAGAATTACAGCCAGTTGCCATGTGGGTGCTGGGAATCCAACCCAGTCCTCTGGAAAAGCAACAAGTGCTCTTAGCTACTGAGCCGTCTCTATAGGGAATTCTTGGTGGTTCTAAATTATCCAAAAGAGACTGCTTTTTCACACAACATAGGCTGGGAGTGCTGGTACATGATAGTAACCCCAGCACTCTCTGGGCCGAGACAGGAGAATTAAAAGTTTGAGGCCTGGGCTGGAGAGATGGCTTTGTGGTTTAGAGCACTGGCTGCTCTCCCAGAGGACCTGGCTTCAGTTTCCAGCACCCCAAAGGCAGCTCACAACTGTCTGTGACTCCAGTCCCAGAGGATCCCAGAGGTTCTGACACCCTCAAACAGACATACATGCAGGCAAAACACCAATGCACATGAAAATTTTTTAAAAAGTTGGAGGGAGGCCTGCCTGGGTTACATAGGGAGACCCTGTCCCCCAAACAAACAAAAATTATAGTTTATGTGTATGGTAACATTTTCTCTGTTATTTTTGTTTGATTGTTACTGTGTTTTGTTCTGTTGTTATTTTTGAGGCAGGGTCTTATGTAAAACAGACTGGCTTGAACTCTTGATCTTCAGGCTTCCACCTCCCAAGTGCTGTGATTACAGATGTGCGCTGCCTCACCTAGCACTCTCTCTCTCTCTCTCTCTCTGTGTGTGTGTGTGTGTGTGTGTGTGTGTGTGTGTGTGTGTGTGTGTATGTGTTTCCAGTCCAAGTATCATCAGGATTGTTCTTCTGAAAGGACCAGGGTGCAGAATGAAAATGTCTTGGCTCCCACTTTGCAGAGCACCTCAGCTGCCTCCCACTGAACTTCCTGTCTATTCTTTCCCATGGCTTCAGTATTAGAAGCCAGTTTCCAAACATGACACAAGGCTCAAGGTCACTAACAGGACCAAGTCTAATCAAACAACAAATATTTACCAAGGGCCTGTTGCTTCTAATGCACTGAACTCCTGTGGCACAACGTACTTTGGGGAACAAAAGCAACAGCTACAGCTTAGCTCCGTTTCCTTTGCAGTGCGTAGATGTATGGGAGAAGTACTCTCTGCATTCTGGGCTCCTAAGTGCAGCTCTTGCATTTTGGTCCCTGGCCAGCTCCACCCCTGCATTCTGGAACTGACCCACCAACCTCCCAACATGCCAAGCATTCTCTTTGCTGTCTCCACTGTTACTCACGTGGCCCTGCTCCCTCACTTCTTCTTAGCTTTTGCCCCAAATACTGCTGACTCAGTGAGACTTGTCCTGATGCATACCACAGTTGTACACGTGGAAGTCAGACGACAACTTTAGGGTCGGTGTTTTCCAACCTTCAGGTGGGTTCAGGGGATAGGACTTTGTCACCAGGCTTGGACCATAAGCATCTTTACTGGCTGAGTCATCTGGCTAGCCCCAAGTTCAACCTTTTTTTTGTATCCAACTCAGTTTCTTTTAATTAAGACTACTCTTTATGCTCATATACTGTTTCTTTTGTGGGTTTTTTTTTGTGGGGGGCAAGAGAAATGGGGTCATGTTAGAGCCAATAGCTTTTCTCACAGGAGTTAGCATTGAGTATCTTCCTCAAATGTATCTTCGCCTTATTTATTTATTTATTCATTCATTCATTTTTGGTTTTTTGAGACAGAGTTTCTCTATGTAGCGCTAGCTGTCATGGAACTCACTCTGTAGACCAATGTCACCACTCTAGAGGTTGTGGGACCTGGGAGGATGGAGCTGATAAATGAGACGGATTAAAATCACATGCAATAGCCAATTTTATTCAGAGCATCAGACATTTATACTCTGAGGGTTAAGAAAAAATCACATGAGTAAAGTTCTCATGAGTTCAAGTTGTACACAATCACAAGGAGAGGTCACAGGTGGCAGCAACATGTTTTTCCATAACATATAAAGGATAGTTTAAACGTTTAATTGAATAACAACAGCAAGCAATAATGAGTAATCTGAAGTAAACTCACTCCTATCTGCTACATCTAGGAGGAACACGAAAACACATTCCAAGAACAATTCTGTGTTTTGAAGAACCTCAGCCTCTTTTTTTTTTTTTTTTTTTGCAATGTTCTCACAAGCACTCAGAATTCTCCTCACAAGACTCCATTCCTGACCCGTGTTTCGACAGACCAGGTTAGCTTCAAACTCAGAGATCTGCTTGCCTATGCCTCCCGAGTGTAGGGACTAAAGGCGTGTGCCACTACTGGCACAATTGACCAAATTTCACCTTAGATTTTGAGAAAGGATCTCTCGCTGAACTTGGAGCTTGCCAATTAGGTTAGGTTACCTGGCCAGCAAGTCCTAGGGACCCTCCTGTCTTCCAGCCCTGGGATTACAGGCACATGCTTCCAAATCTAGATTTTCACATGGGCTCTGGGCTCCGAACTCAGGTTCTCATGTTTGCAAGTCCAGCACCTTACAGACTGAGCCGTTCTCTCTGCACCCAAACGGTCTTTTCACCATGTGAGTGTGTTTTATATATAGTAGGACGTCAGTTCAGGGGGGAGGAAAAAATAATTTTCCTTCATTTTTATGAGTTCTTGTTTAAGACAGACCCCTATAACAAAACCACATTAACAAGAGAAAAATATCCTTCAATAAACGGCATTCAGCATTAATATATATATATATATATATATATATATATATATATATATATGAATAAACTATTATATGAAACGCTTGGAAAAGAAAAAAAAAAACAATAGAAAAATAGCCCCAATTGGTGGCATAGTCCTTTCATCCCAGCACTCTGGAAGCAGAGGCAGGCAAATCTCTGTGAATTCAAGCCCAGCCAAGGCTACACCGTGAGACTATGTCTCCATAAACAAGAGAAAATCAAACAGAAGTTTGGAAGATGCCCCAGGGAAACGAGTAACTTTCCAGAAGCCAGCTTGGAATAGAAGGTGTCTTCAAAGAAGAGTCATTTTTTAGAGACATGATAAGGCAAACGACAAGGAAGAAGAGTTCCAGTTTCTATGGCTGGATGACCGTGAGAAGGCAAATAGTGAGGGAAAGCCTCTAGGGTCAAGTTTGTTATGTGAGTCTCTGGCTGATGAAAGTCTCTCAAGTCCCAACACACAGGAGGTGAAGAGGCAGGAGGGTGAGGAGTTCCAGGTCAGCCTGGACTGCATAGTAGTAAATTAGAGATCACTTGGGCTATTTGAGATTCTGTCATAAAAAAACAAAACAAAACAAAGGCTGTGAAAGAAACAAAGCCACAAGAAGTGGACAGGTCTTTTGGCCTCTCCGTGCTGTTAGAATTGGGGAGCACCTTGTTTTATAAAGCAGCACAGCTCTTCCCCGGGTCTGGTGGAGAATCCTGGGTCTCTAGGCTGACAAGGGCAGACAGAGGAAGGCAGAAGCTGGAAACAGAGCAGACTGGCTGAAGCAGAGGGATTTCCTTAGCTCTCTGGCCAGCACAGCCACGGGCTGGTGAACCACTCTCCTTTTCTATGAGGGTCAGTCAGAAAACTCAGTTTTGTGCTGGTAGCATGCAGTTGCAGCTGTGCTTCTACTTTGATCTGGCAGGCCCTCCATTTAGTCCAGGAGCTTAGGCCAAGCTAATGGCTTCCTAGACATTTTACTTACAATGTCTAAAATTGTCTTTGGAGATAAACCTCCATCCCTAGGTAGGGAAGGGAGGAGAGACCCTTTTGTCTTTATGTGTATGTGTTTATTTTTACTTCAGTGCTTGTGTGTATTGCGATGCCCTGGAAAGTCAGAAGAGCTGGTGTTACACACAGGCAGTTGTAAGCCTCAGAAACTGAACTCAGTAAAGACCGCTTAGCCCGAGTTATCTCTCTAGTCCTTTAAAATTGCTTATGTTATGCATACGAGTGTGTGTTTGTGGGTGCTGACAGAGACCAGAGCTGGAGTTACAGGCCAGTGTCAGCCACCAGGATGTGGGTGCTGGAAACTGAACTCTGGTCCAGTCGAAGAGCAGGAAGTGCTCTTAACCACTAAGTACTGTCTCCAGCCCTCCCCTTGTGTTTTGTTTTTAGGTAACTGGAGGAAGATGTAGTATTTGTGTCTTCTCGATTGTCTTAAACCTGAAACAGACCTTTTGTGGGAGGCCCCTTTTCGTGTATGGACGTGGGTCCCGTGTTCTGCTCCCCCTACTTCACAATACCCTATCTCCCTTCTTTTTCTTACCACGCAGCTAAGGAGTCCCTGGAACAAAGCACTCACTTCGGAAATGTTAGCGGCTAGTTTGCCTGGTTTTTTGACTGAGATTGGCCACGTGTATTCACTGCAAGAACGCGATTTGGGGGACCGTAGAGGGCATTAGTGAAGAAGAGGAAAGGCGGGAAGGAGGAGAGCTGAGGTGGGCCTCAACCTGCGCCTCGGATGTGAGCTTCCGGGGACAGAGTGGACTTAGGACACAGTGGCTTGGGTCAGGAACACAAGGTAGGGTGAACCTGGGGAGCAAAGGACCTGGGTGGGGCTGGTGGGCGTGGCGATATGCCCTGGGGCGGGGCCGGGGCGGGGCGAGCGCGCGCAGACTCATAGAGCTCCAGGTCTGCTGGCCGACCCACTGTCAGTCTGCAGCAGCGGGAGACCATGGGACGCTACGCTGCGGCGCTGGTGGGCTTGCAGTTCGGGCTGGGGCTGCTGCTGTGTGAACTGGGCAGCCTAGCAAGCGCCGAGCCCCGGGCCCCGCCGGACAGGATCGGTAGGTGCGGGGGATGAGGAGGCTAGGCAATGCGGAGGACCGTCTCCCCGTGGCAGGGTGGAGATCAGGGTCCTGAGGACCCGGCCGTGCGCTCCCGAGCGTGGAACGGTGCCACTGGAGGCGTGGGCAGGCTCGGGACCCGGTTTCCCTCCAGCCCCAGCCTGGGAGGCTCTCAGCTCTAGGAGCTGGATGCCCTCGGGAGCCCGCCTCTGACTGTTCCTAGAGCCGAGTCTGTCTGGAAGACCGAGGCGCGCAGACACCGCACAGGGACTAGTCTGTCGTCCCCCTCCCCCAAGCCCTCCCCCGACAGAGCTGGACCTCCTCCCCGCACCTGCGCTCTGCTTGCGAGGCTGCAACTGCTGCAGCTAAGGAGAGGACCGGCTGTCTTCCTGGCCTTACTTCCCTTGGGTTTTCACTTCCGGGCGTTCTGTCCCCATCTGAAGTTGTGTCTTTCGGGATCGTTCATGGTGTTGGAGCCTCAGAGAGACAAAGAACAAAGCTGGGCGAAGATGGCGGCCACTTTATTTAAAATGCGTGCAGGAGTGGCCCATTCATGCCTCTCCAGGAGTTGGGTACAGGAGAGTCCGTGGGTCCGGTGGTCTCTCCACAAAGATCTGTGGACATGTTTGGGCATCTTTTGACTAACTGTTACTTGTAATTTCATCTAAAGCACCTGTCCAGATACAGGGAGTGTGACCTCAGAAAGAACCCTGCCCCCAGGCTCCACGAAGTTGTTGGTTATAGTCTTGAGTAATGTCTGTTATTGGTTAATGGCCTTTCAAAAACAAAAGTCACCCCGCTAAGAGGGGAAACAAACGGTTCCTCTTTTTCCCTCCTTATAGCCATCGTCGGTGCTGGAATTGGTGGCACTTCCTCAGCCTATTACCTTCGGAAGAAATTTGGGAAGGATGTGAAGATTGACGTGTTTGAAAGAGAAGAGGTCGGGGGCCGTCTGGCCACTTTGAAGGTGGAAGGTCATGACTACGAGTCAGGGGGTTCTGTCATCCACCCTCTAAATTTGCACATGAAGCGTTTTGTCAAAGAGCTGGGTATGTGACTGTGGTCTTGGAGCTAAGCAGATTTCTGTGCCGTGTGACTGGCTCTAGGTGTTTTCATCGACACAGAGAGCTGAGATGTTTCTGCCTTGTTTGTCTTCTACCGAGGAGCTGATGAAACTGTTTCTCTCGCTGTGGGGTTTAGTTTAGCAGTTGGTACCGGTCTAGCTTTGAGCCACTCTCCTGTAACGGGACTCCAGTTATCTGTGTGTCATCAGTTCTCTGGAATTACAACCACAGGGCGCAATGAGAATGGCAGCTGTTACCAATCCTTCAAGAAAATTTTATTTTAAAAAATTAAGTTTTCGCTATTTCTTCTGTGTGAAGGGGGCGGGGGTGTGGTCTGAGTGCTACAAGGGTGTGTATGGGGGGGGCGGCAGAGGGCAACTGATGAGTCAGTTCTTTCCTTCTACCATGTGGGTCCCAGGAATTGAACTCAGGTCATCAGGCTTGGCAGCAGATGCCTTTAGGGCCTGAGCCATCTTGCTTGGTCCCTGTTGGCAGTTCTCGAACCCCTGGGTTTGGGTTGAAGAGTCGGGGTGTTTTGAGCTAGCAGAAACCTTAGCTCATTTTCCTAATGAGAAAATGAGACCCACGGGCTTCAGACACTTGGCTTGAAGTCATTCGAATGGGGTACAGAGACATGTGCTCACAGGGAGGGACACATGACGACGCACTGCCAGCAGAGGAGCAGGGCGTGTTGTGGGGAAGTCTGGCAGGCCTCTGCAAGCCTTCCGAGGGAATATTGTGTAACTTTGGCCTTTTCCCATTTACCTGAAATTCCTAATTTTGCAAAGATCAGCATAGGAATGGAAGTACATCTTATTCCTCAGCTGCCCTTTTCATCCCTGACTGATGCTTTATTCTCCATGACTAAGAATAGTGGGGTTAATTTGGTACATGTACATGGTCTTCTGACCCATCTCCTAGTGTCAGTTGGTGGATTGAGCAATCAGAGTGTCCGAACTGTTTTAAACATAGAACTCTAATGTGTCTCCTGAGACCTGGGGACGGCCCCTAAGTCACTCACTCAGAATGTCCCTGGCAGGTCACCCAAATTCCCTTTTCATTGGGCCAATGTAGAAACCACTGGCATGCCGGGCAGTGGTGGTGCACGCCTTTAATCCCAGCACTCGGGAGGCAGAGCCAGGTGGATCTCTGTGAGTCTGAGGCCAGCCTGGTCTACAGAGTGAGATCCAGGACAGGCACCAAAACTACACAGAGAAACCCTGTCTGGAAAAACCAAAAAAAGAAAAAGAAACCACTAGCATACTTTGCCTCTGGGTTTTTTTGTTTTGTTTTGTTTTAAGATTTGTGTGTGTGTGTGTGTGTGTGTGTGTGTGTGTGTGTGTGTGTGTGTGTACTAGAGTTACAGGTGGTTGTGAACTGCCTCACATGGATGCTAGGAACGGAACCCAAGTCCTTTACAAGAGCAGCAGGGGTCATAACCACTGAGCCGTCTCCTGAGCCCCTCCTCTATTTTGGCAGGTCTCTCCAGTGTTCCAGCTTCAGGTGGCCTGATGGGGGTGTACAATGGAAAGTCTCTGGTGTTTGAGGAGAGCAGCTGGTTTATAATCAACATGATTAAGCTGGTGTGGCGCTACGGATTTCAGTCTCTGAGAATGCACATGTGGGTAGAAGACTTGCTGGACAAGTTCATGAGGTAACTATCCCGCTTCTGTTGAACTTAAGATCTTCCGGTCTGAAGATCACGAGAATGTTAGTTCCCTGAACTAGTTCTCCGCCTAGTCACCACTTTGTTAGGCAAAATGTTTCACAGAAAACATGCAGATCATCACCCTGTTTGGGAGCTTAACATGTTGGCTGTTTTTGTTTCTAAATTGTACTTTGCAAGGGCTGAGATATGGCTCAATGGTTGGACACTTGCCTGGCATGCCTGACCATCCCATTTAAGGAGTTGACTTCTGTGCAGCATCTAAGAGTGTCTGGCAACACTAAAGAAACATTTGCAAAACACAATTCGGAAGCTGGGCTTGAAAAAGAAAAAAGGCATTAATTCTCATGGCAGCTGGCTCCAGAGCCACTGCTGCTGGCTGATTTTGGCAGATGTGGAAGGTGAAGATGTCCAGGTTTTAAGTGTAGAAGACCACCCACCTAGCTAGGAAGTGGTAAAGCTGGAGTTCCCTCCCAGGCCAAATCAATCTGGAGTCTCTCTTAATGCCTGCATTGTGCTGGTTGTGGGAGACCAGTTCCCACATTTATTTACCCCAGAGACTCTTGAAGAGAGATGGATAAGAGATTTAGCTAGAATGGGGAGAGAAACAGATAGAAACATAGGATAGCCTTGGGAGGGCCTGGATCCTTATCAACCAGCCCTTACGGTCTCTTCTAAAGGGCTTTTTATAAGAATGCCAAGGGGTGGAGCAAAGACCTCCCCCTAGCACAGACAAGTGCAAACCCTTCCAATCATCTCGTAACCATGCACATGGTCAAGCCATCCTCTAATGCAGCTCCACTGGGTAAAGCAAGCTCAGATCTCACTAGGAACCTTGTGGGCCTCCACAGCTGGTGTATAGGTGAATGAGATACTGAGCATAAGAACTTACAGTAAATGTAAAACTGAAATGAGGTTTGGCTTTGGGCTTTTTGAGTTCTATTTTATTATCATTGTGTGCTGTATAAGGTGGAAATGTGGATGCACAGAGGACGGCTTTTGTGAGTCAGTTCTCTTTCCAGTGTGGGCTTTGGGCATTGAAGTCGGGTCATCCGGCTTGTGAGGCAGAACGCTCGCTGTTCACCTGCTGAGCCATCTTGCCATCCCTGTTTCTTTTTCTTTTACTGTCAGATTATGTATTCTAGACTTTAAGTGGGAACTATTGAGAGCACAGGTGTCCTGGGGTGACAGGCAGAGGGAGGAACAGAGGTCTGTGAAGGATGAGACTGAACTGGCAGGAACTCATGTGACTGGCAGGAACTCAGCCATCAGAAACATGGAAATCAATTCATCATAAAAAAAAAAAAAAAACACAAAAAACTGTGTGTTTAGTCTGCATGTATGTCTGTGGTCCTGTGTGTGCCTGGTGACCGAAGAGCTCAGAGAAAGGCATCAGATCTCTTGGAAAAAGAGTTGCAGGTAATTATGAGCTGCCCTGCGAACAGAACCCAGGTCCTCTGCAAGAGCAGCAGCAGCATGTTTGGTTTTTGGTTTTTTTGGTTTGGTTTGGTTTTTCAAGACAGGGTTTCTCTGTGTAACAGCTTTGGCTGTCCTCCAACTCACTTTGTAGACCAGGCTGGCCTCGAACTCACAGAGATCCACCTGCCTCTGCCTCCTGAGTGCTGGGATTAAAGATGTGTACCACCACCACCCAGCGATTTTTTTTTTTTTTAAAGATAGAATTTCACAAACCGGGGGGTGGTGGTACACCCCTTTAACCCCACACACCATCAGAGGGAAGCTGATTTCTGTGAGTTTGAGGCCAGCTGATCTACAGAGTGAGTTCCAAAATAGCCAGGGCTACACAAAAAAACCCTGTCTCGAAAAACTAAAAAAAAAAAGGATAGAATGGCTGGTCTGCAATTTGCAGTCCTTCTGCCTCAACCTCCCAAGTCTGGCTTTTTTTTTTTTTTTTAATTTTTCAAGGGTTAGATTTGAACTCGGATTGCTGGATTCAGAGTGCTAACCATTACACCATGGAACCTCATCAGTTTCTCTTTTCTGAGGCTGTTTGTAGCCCCTTGTCCTATGTGGGGTTTCATGACCGTTTCTCTTTTTTTCAAGGATCTATCGTTATCAGTCCCATGACTATGCCTTCAGCAGTGTAGAAAAGTTATTGCTCGCTATCGGAGGGGATGACTACGTCCGACTGCTTAACCAGACTCTCCATGAAAACCTGCAGAAAGCAGGCTTCTCTGAGACATTCCTCAACGAGATGATCGCTCCTATCATGCGCGTCAATTTTGGTCAAAGCACCAACCTCAATGCCTTTGTGGGTAAGACAGTATTGGAGGGAATCAGGGATAGCCATAGCGAAGGAGCTTAGGCATCAGGCTCGGGATGGGGAGGCTGCCTGTCTTAGTGTCTCAAGCGTTTTTTACCGACATCATTAATTTCTGTCTGTGAGTTGTTAGGGGTAGAGGGTCCAGTGCTTCTGATAGTGCCAGTGGCTGTCGCCCCTGAGGGTCATCTGGCCATGTCTGGAGGCATTTGGAGCAGAACATCTAAGTGGGTGGGAGGGGGCCACTTACCTAACCAAGACAGAATTAAAATGTGTTTGCCCTCTCCTGACAGGGGCAGTGTCAATGACAGGGGCCGATTCCAACCTTTGGGCTGTGGAAGGTGGTAATAAAGTTGTTTGTTCAAGGCTCCTTCAGGCCTCCGGCAGCAACCTTATAACTGGTTCCGTAGTGTCCATAGAGGAGAAGACAAGGACCAAACAGACCGGTGAGGCTGAACTCTGATTGTTCCTGGTTATTCTTGCAAAAATGACGGCTCAGGGAGAAAATGTCACACACACACACACACACACACACGCACACGCACACGCACACGCACACGCACACGCACACGCACACACACACACACACTTTTTTTTTTTTAAGATAGAGTTTTTCTATCTAAAGTAGCTCTGGCTATACTGGAACTCACTATGTAGACTGTGTTGGCCTCAGACTCACAGAGACCCGCTTGCCTCTGCCTCCTAAATTCTGGGATTAAAGCCGTATGCCACTACGCCTAGTTTTTTACATGGGTGATGTGGATTTGAACTCAGGTCCCATAATTCTATAACTTCTAATAGCTTCTCTATGATTGTAAAAAGTTAAGATATATATGTATATATCTCCAATTGTATTACATTGAGGATGTTTTTCTACTCAGTAAGAACAAAATGTGGAACATTCTCTTTGAGAATTTTTTCCATATCCCGTGAGCCATGATCATTCCTTTTAGCACAGTTGGGAACATTTCTGCATGAGCAGTGTGAAGTTCCACTGTTTGGGAACTTCGTAAGAGATGCCAGAAGAAAAGATTTTTCTGGCCTGGGGAAATGGCTCAGTGGGTAAGAGAACTTACTTCACAAGCATGAGGACCTGAGTTCAAATCCCCAGCACCCATGTTTAAAAAAAAGAGCTAGATGTCTCTCATATATGCCTGTAACCTCAGTATGGTGAAGAATATAGACAGAAATAATGCTACAGTTTGTTGCTAGTTCTAGTTTACTGAGAGCCCTGTTTCAAGAGAATAAGGCAAAGAGCTATAGAACATGACACCCCATGTCCTCTTCTAGCCTTTGTGTGCATGTCCAGATGCAGACACATCCATACATAGGTATGTGTACATGCCTGTGGGCACACCACGTGCACACTAGAGTCAGGGGCTGGGTGTGTATCTTGGTTGGTAGAGTACTTGCCTAGCATGCATGAAACCACGGGCTTGATCTCCACCATCACAGAAACTAGGTGATGGCACATACCTTATAATTCCACTTATACTCCGGAAGTGGAAGATCAAGGTTATCTTTGGCAACGTAGCGAGTTTGAAGGCAGCCTAAGCTACATGAGACACTGTCTCAAAAATAAAAACAGGGCTGGGAAGATAAGAGCCTTTTCCGTAAAGTCATTGCCATGCAAGCATGGGAGCTTGAGTTTGATCCCAGGACCCACATAGAGAGCTGGGCATTTTGGCAAGTGCTGGTAATTGTGGTGCTGGGGAGAGTAGAGACGGGCAAATCCTTGGGGCTCACTGGTAGCCAGTGTGGCCTAATTGGTAAGCTGCAGTGAGAGAAAAGCAAGATGGGGGCTAGAGAGACGACTCAGTGGTTAAGAGCACTGGCTGCTCTTGCACAGATCCTGAGTTCAGTTCCTAGCACCCACATGACAGTTCACAGTTGCCTGTATAACTCCAGTTCCAGAGGATCTGACACACTCTTCTGGCCTCCAGAGGCACCAGGCATGCACTTAGTGCACAGCCATACATGTGGGCAAACATTTCAATACATAAAATAATAACAAAAAATAAATCTTTAAAAAAAAAAAAAGACAAAAAACAAGATGGACAGCTCCTGGGGAGGGGGTGACACTTGAGGTTAACCTCTGACCTCCACACACAAAAGCACATGTACACAAACGAAGGCAAAAAAATGTTACAGAATTATTTTTAGAAGTCCTGAAATTGAGTATGTTAGAAGCACTAAAAAATACGCGCTTCCCCGTGCTCCTCTAGGAAATCCCACAAAGATGTATGAAGTGGTATATAAAACAGGATCTGAGACCCATTCGGACTTCTACGACATTGTCCTTGTGGCTGCTCCATTGAACCGGAAGATGTCTGACATAACTTTCCTCAATTTTGATCCACCCATTGAGGAATTCGATGACCCATATCAACACCTGGTGACAACTTTAATTAAAGGAGAACTCAATTCCACTCTCTTCAGCTCTAGACCCAAGGATCAGTTCGGCCTCTCCGCGATTCTTGTCACTGATGACTCAGATATGTTTATTAACAGCCTGTCCATTGTGGCCCCTGTAAGAGCGAAGGAGGGTCCTGCACCGGCGGTGGATGGCATGCACGTGTGGAAGACCTTCTCTAGGGACGTTCTCACCAAAGAGCAGATTTCAAAGCTCTTCCTGTCCTATGATTATGCTGTACGGAAGCAATGGCTGTCCTACCCTTACTATGAGCCTCCTCAGAAGTGTCCCTCCATCGTCCTCCACGACCGGCTCTATTACCTCAATGGCATTGAGTTTGCGGCCAGCTGCATGGAGATGAGTGCCATCGCTGGCTACAATGCCGCTCTCCTTGCCTACCACCGCTGGAACGGTAACGAGGACATGATTGACCAGGAGGACCTGTATGAAAAGCTCAAAACGGAGCTGTAACTGAGCATTGCCCCTCCCTAGAGCACCCTGCTCTTGCAGAACTGAGTCAGCAGAGCTGAATCTTTACCAGCACTCTTCATGTGGGTCATGAGAAAACACAACTTTCCCGTTCATTGGAGAACTTGATCTTCAGCCAGACTGTCTTCACTCTTTCATTTTGGGGGAGGTACAGGAGGATTGAACCCAAGGCCCTGTGCATGCTAGGCAAACACTCTGCTACTGACCTGAGCTACATCCAGCCCTCTTTGTGGTTTTTCTTTTGAGACTGGGTCTCACTAAGTTGTCCAGGAGGAGTCTCCTGCCTCAGTCTCCCGAGTGCCTGGGATTACAGGCTCTTGCCATTAGGCCTGGCTTTTAACTGTGGGGGACACTGGCAGAGTTTCCCAGACTTGTTGGGGGGTTAAGGGAGTTTTTTTTTTTTTTTTTTTTTTTTTTTTTAGTTTTTTGAGACGGGGTTTATCTGTGTAACAGTCCTGGCTGTGGCTGTCCTGGAACTGCTCTGTAGACCAGGTTGGCCACCAACTATCAGATCCACCTGCCTCTGCCTCCCAAGTGCTGGGATTAAAGCCATGGGCCACCACTGACTGCCCAATGTTTTAAGTGTCACCTGGAACTTGATAAACACCTGGATTTGGACTCAGTGGGCTGGGTGTGTTCCTGAATTTGCTTCAAATTATAGAGCAATCTTTTTCTTTTCTTTCTCTCTAGTTTTTCTCCCTCTAGAAGTGTGTGGAAACTATGTTTTACTCTGCACACCAGGCTGGAACTCAGTATGTAACCTAGGCTGGTATTTAAATCACAGCAATCCTCCTGTCTCAGCCTCCCACATGCTGGATATAGGTTTGAGGTCCAATTTCTGGCAGTTTACATTTTTTTTAATGTAAATGTGCTGAAGCCTGAGGTCATGACTTTAAGAATGTGATTTTTTGATTGCTTCTGTCTTGGTTTTATCATGGATAGACTCAGAGATAGAAACAGAGATACCCTGTGATGTGGGAACTGGATATAGGCTATTGAATCAAGAAACTGACACTGTACTATATGAGGCCCTCATGTGAGGAGGTCTGTGTTTTTCTATGCTGGGCTAGGGATTGAACCGGAGACCCTGAGTATCCGAGACAAGGACAAGTGCTCTTCCACTGAGCTACATTCCCAGCCCCAAGAGCTTCAGGGCCCCACGGCCAGAGAATGGGAGTTCCTGGGTTGAGGATGGGGTCTTGGCACTGTAGCTTTGCCAAGTTCAAGTTCCTTTGCAGCCAAAGATGAGTAAATCCTGGATGTGGGGATAAACCTTCTATAGAGAGCTTTGAGTGCCTTAAAAGTGCTAAGGAACACAAACCATGACCCTAGCAGACCCGTGCCAGACATGACTGACTGCTGAGATCCTCAGCAGTGGCCTCCATGGGGACTAGCACTGCTGTAGAGGGTGAACCTAGAGCAGTCGGCCTTAGAACCAAGTCTTCACGGCGACTTGGGTTCAGAGGGAATCCCTTCAGATGCTGGGCATTCCGGATGAGAGGCCATTGCTGAAATCTTAAGACAGTGAGTGGCTCTCAGCTGTGGTTGCATGTGGGAGTCCAGGCTTCTCATATGTAGTCAAGCTCAAGAAATCTAACTTTTTGTCCACTGCTCAAGGTCACCAGTGACTGTCATAGCCGCTAGTATTAAGAGAAAAAAAAAGTAATTTTGCCTGCCTTGGTAGTGCATGCCTGTAATTTCAGTACTTTCATGGCAGAAGCAAGAGGATCAAGAGTTCAAGGCCAGCCTGGGCTGTAGCAACACCCTGTCTCAAGGAATAAAAACTGGATTATAGCATTGCATCAGCAAAGTGGTCTAAGAAAACATTGATTCTTAAAAATTATTTTTTCCCTTGTACAGCTGCGGGTATTATTAATGTGTGGAGAAAGCAGCCATGATGTATTTGGTATAGTGACAGGAATTAATTAAATTCATAGCCTATCAAAAGGTTGACATTTTTTCTGATTTGTTCAGAGACATTTGTGTTTTTTCCTGTTGTGGTTTTAATGAACATGGTTTGTCAAGAATATAAGAACACTGTTAAGGATTTGGTACTGCGGCTCCTCATCTGAGGGCTATGTTTCGTGATCCCCTGTGGGCACCCAGACCTGGGAAGCAGTGTGCCCCGTATGTTCTATTTCCACATGTACAATATACCTGTGATAAAATTTTAATTTATAAATTTGGCACAGTAAGAGATTAACAACGGGGTTGGGGATTTAGCTCAGTGGTAGAGCACTTGCCTAGCAAGCGCAAGACCCTGGGTTCGGTCCTCAGCTCTGGAAAAAAAAAAAAGAGATTAACAACATTAATTATAAAATGGAAAAGTTGTAACAATTTACCATAATGGAAGTCAATTAAAACTTACAACACATTTCTGGTATTTTCTTTTTTTTCTGGATAGGGTCTCACTATGTAGCCTTAGCTGGCTTCAGAGTTATAGACAGTTTGCTTCTCCCCCTCCCCTCCACATGCTGGGTTTAAAGGCTTCTGAGATGACTATACAGTGTCCCGAGGGAGTATTGTCCATGGAGTATTTTCAGACTGTAACTGCAGACAGATCAGCAAAAAAGGTACTACCTATGGGAGGGCTGCTGCAAATGCAGGGGAATACAAGACAATCAATTCCTACAGACTTGGATCTGTAATGGGCTGTATTTGGGCTTATAATTTAAAATTTGCTAGTGGGTGGGAGAGTTGGCTCCTTGGTTTAGAGCACTGGCTATTCTTCCAGAGGACCTGAGTTCATTTTCCAGCACTCACATGGCAGCTCACAACTGTCTGTAAATCCAGTTTCAGGGGTCTAGGCACACTCTTGGTGCACAGATATACATGCAGACAAAATACATACACATATAAGAAAATTTTAAAAATCTTTAGCCAGGTGTGGTAGCGCATGGCTTTAATTCCAGCTCTTGGGAGGCAGAGGCAGGCAGATCTGTGACTTCTATGCTAGCCTGGTCTACATAGTGAGTTCCAGGCCAGCCAGGACAACACACTGAGACCTCGTCTAAAATAATAATAGTAGTAATAGGTTAAAAAAACTGTTTAAGCCGGGCGGTGGTGGTGCACGCCTTTAATCCCAGCACTCGGGAGGCAGAGGCAGGCGGATCTCTGTGAGTTTGAGGCCAGCCTGGGCTACAGAGTGAGTTCCAGGACAGGCTCCAAAGCTACACAGAGAAACCCTGTCTCGAAAAACCAAACCAAACAAACAAAACAAATAAAAAAAAACTGTTTAAGTGAGCCTCTGGTTCAATAAGTTTATTAATTCAAAAGTTTACAATTAAAGTGTATATGGCCCCATCTTTAGTTACTAGGAAGACAGGCCATTTGGAGAAGGGACATGCATTTCTCTGCGAGCAGCCAGTATACAAACTTATCTTAAGGCGTCTGAGATGACTACACAGTGCCCCAAGGGAATTCAAAGCCAAGGTACAACCAGCAGATCATGGTACACTCCAAACTTGCATGCTTCTCCTCTGGAGACGGTAAGAATGTTTCAGAACTACCTACATTTTCACACAGGATGCTTTGAGGGGAGGGAGGTTGCAGTTCTGATCATACTCCATTTAAGATGTAACGTACTGAGCTGGATGTTATGGCTCCCACCTCTAATCCCAGCACTCAGGAGGCAGAGGCAGGCAGATCTCTGTGAGTTTGAGGTCAGCCTGGTCTACAGAGTGAGATCCAGGATAGCCAGGGCTATGTAGAGAGACCCTGTCTCAAAAAAAGAAAGGAGATGTAACCTACTGAGCACGCTCACTGAAGATGATAGTTCAACAAGGAAAGATGGTGAAGACTGACAACCTTCTCCCTCCCAAGAAGCACAGCTTGTGTTATAAAGACAGGGCCAGAAGGTTCCCCAGGAGGCTGGGTGGAAGATCACATATATCGACGGGTGTCACCACGGTCGCAGGGAATGCCAGCAGCTGGGAGGGAGGCTATAGGAAGGGCTAGTGAGGGCTCAGAGAAACTGATCCCCTCTGGCTGTTAGAAGCCAGCTTCTTGCCCTCAGGCTCCACTTTCCTTCCCCCAGCTTAAAGTAACTTGGCAGCTGGAGCTGCCTCAGGCACCAGAGCTGGTGAGCTTGTGCGTGGGGTCCAGCTTGTTCCCTCAGGAGCCTGACTCACATCTTTTACTTGGAGCTACAGGGACAAGTGTAGGAGTAAAAGCACTGACCAGACCAGAGGCAGGGAAGCATATTAAAATACGCTTCAAGAAGAGCAGAGACACAGAGGGTAGATTCCTGTTATCCCCTCTGAAGGAAGGTGAGTTCTTCCCTAACAGTTTGATGGACTTTACCTTGTCTTCTTTTTTAGAAATTTATTTTAATATTTGATGTGTATATGTGTTGGTCTGCACGTATGTCTGTGCACCTCGTGTGTGCCCAGTGCCTGCAGAGGCCAGGAAAGGGCATGGATCCCTGTAGAACTAGAGGTACAGATGGTTGTGAGCTGTCATGTGGATGCTGGGACTCAAACAGGCGTCCCCTGAAAGAGCAGCCAGTGTTCCCTCCCACTGAGCCATCTCTCCAGTCCCTCATTGTTTTTTTCAGTGGTACACCTTACAGTATCAGATCTTTTATGAAGTTGTCCATGTAGGGAACTTGGCCATGGGTCATTAGGAGTTAGGATCTGACTATTTACAACATCACAAGTCACTTGGGTCAGGCTCCAGGTGGTGGTCTGTTTTTGCTTTTGTTTTATTTTTTCCAGAGCTGAGGACCAAACCCAGGGCCTTGCGCTTGCTAGGCAAGCACTCTACCACTGAGCTAAATCCCCAACCCTAGTCTGATTGTTATAGTGTGGGAATTTTTGCTCTATTATTATCCTGCTCCTTTCCATGCACATCCCTGACCGAGCAGCAAAGTCAAATGATTGCCAAGAGATGAAGCTAATCTGGAGCTTCTGAACAGAGGTCTAGTTAGCCTTAGTGATATGTCAGGGTTGTGAGACTATAAGACATTGAAGGCGAAGGGAGCAGGCAAAACACCTTGTCCTGAGTACTGCCATTTTGACTTCAAACTCCATTTTCCCTGCAGGGTGAAATAAATTCAGGTTCCCAAGCCCTGGGGGAGCTGAGAACTTTCCAATGGCTGATCAACCTATTCCCTAAATCATAGAAATAGTCGTTATACATCTTTAGTTCTCTAGAAACATCATGGCTGTTCCTAACAACAGAAGGAACAAATGAATCTGATTGGTTGGACTGAAAGGCTTGCATTGTGTATTGGTTGACAATGATGGAACATTCAAGGAAGCCCCTAATCTCTAAATCCTGACGGGTGAAAATTGTAACCGTAACTTGGCACCAAATGTTTGTGATTTTTGTGCTTATAAACCCCTCTTCTGCCCCTGCTTGGGGCTGTCAGGAGAAACAGGGCTCCCGAGTCCTTGCCCTGCAGCCCGGATTGATCAGTGACCTGCTTATGTGGTGAATTAATAAAATCTTTAGAATCCATAAATGTTGTCTCTACCCTTCTTTGTGGCGCATAACGGACTAGGTGTAACAAAGGCTCCACAGGCATTTTGTAGTAGAGAGAGTTGTTATCACACGAGGTTTAAGACTGGAATATGAGGAAGGCTGAGAGGTCCTTGGTGGTAGGAAGCAGGCCTGATGCTTTTGGTGACTGTTGACATCCCTTAAGACCGCATCATCTGGAGCCTAATGGCCTGTGATCTAGAAGGTTCCAGTAGTACCAGAAGGTGTAAGTGAGCAAAAGCTGGAAAGAAGAGTGCTGTTGAGGAGCCCCTAGAGTGCTCATAACTGAGAGAGCCAGCCCCAGGGCTATTCCACAGGAGCCATTTCTCAGAGGCTTTCTCTTAAATCGGATGTCTGTCATTTTAGGGTTTTAGCTGCATCTGTACTGTCCAAAACTGACTGGTATAGACACAGCAGTCTTCTGCCAGGACCGACCAGGAACCCCTTGTGGCTCTGTAAGCGTGTCCAGGACACGGTGGTTTTGAAGAATCCTGAGGCAGGAGAAGCAGCCTGGTCCTGAAGGGCCTAAAGGGTCACTGATATATGGCCTAGACCCATAGCTAACTTGGCTGACAAAGTATGGCAAGCGTAAGAAGAAACCCAAGTCCACTCATCTACTGTCTTAAGATTTCAGCAGGATTGGGGACATTGCTCAGTAGTTAAGAGCACTGGCTGTTCTTCCAGAGGACCTAGGCTGGATTCTCAGCACACACATGATGATTCACAACTATCTGTCCAGGTTTCAGGGGATCCAATGTGGGCCTAGGCACCCATGTAATACAAAGACGTACATGCAGGCAAAATACCTGTACACATATAAAAATAAATTAATCAAATTAAAAAGATCAACCTGAGCCAGGTGTGGTGCACATGCTTTTAATCTCAGCAGTCAGGAGAAAGAGGCAAGAGGATTCCTGTGAGTTCTAGGAAAGGTATGGCCACATAGATCCTCTCTCAAAATCAAAACCAAAAACAAAAGAAATCCAAAACAACACAAGACAGAAATGGCCTCTCATCTGGCATCTGATGTATTTTACTTTGAATCCCAGTGATTGGTGTCATGGTGAAGGCCTAGCTTTAGTGTGACTTCTCTGGGCTTACCCAAGCAGCTCATAAGACTGCAGGAGCTTCTTCTGTGGAGACCAGAGCTTCATGCATGCTTGGCAAGCACTGTATCAGCTGAGCCTTACCTCCAGCCCTCATTCTTCTTTATAGGTCCATCAAACACCTCTGTATATATGTATCACATTTTCTCTGTCCATCATCTGTTGATGGACACCTGGGTCAATACCATGACTTTGCTATTATGGATAGCACTATAATAAACATGGATGTGTGGGTATGTATCTCCATGGTTTTTCTTTAGTGTCCTTTGGATACATATCTGGAAGTCAGTAATTGGTCCATTTCTGAGTTGCTGGTCCTCTCGGTTTTTCTTATTGTTATTGCTATTGTTGTTGTTATTATTCAAACAGGGTCTCACTATGTAGCCTTGGCTGGCCTGGCACTTGCTTTGCAGACCATGCTGTTCTTAAATTCACAGAGGTATGCTTGCTTCTGACTCTGGAATCTGGAATTAAAGGTGTGTGACATCAGGTCTGGCAACTATACTTTATTTTAAACTCCAGGGTCACTGGTCTGCTAGGTAACTCCAGAAGTTCCTCCCACAGAATCAGAGGCTTGATAGGAAGTACTTTGCCAAGCAAATGGAGACTGCACCTGAGCGCAGCAATCCCCTCAGGCCCCAATGGGCTTCCTCGGCACCAAATGGAGACTCGCCATCCCACCCTTGCAGAAGCAACTTCCTTGGCACTACAAGTCCTTGGCATGCAGACCGATTCTATTCTGTCCTTCTTCCCCCTTTATTTAACTGCAAGACAAACATCGCCTAAG